ATCGGGCGTCGAGAAGCCATCACCTGTTAATCAGTGTCAGCGAGATACCAGCCGGAGCTGCGGCCATAGCGCCATGTTATTCTCAGCGGCGCAGGGTGCCGAACATACTGCAAAACGATTTCAATATGCGAGCAGCCTTTTCGCATTCTTTATCGAGCGTCGACGGCCAGAAGGCCTCCTTGGCTAGCCGGGAGGAACGGGCCGAGGGGATTTTATCAGCCCAGCCGCGCACCTTCTCGACGCTGTTCTTGCGGGCATGGCCGCTGGCGATACTACTAGCGCTCGACCTATTACGATCCCAGCTCGGGAGGAGGGACGAAACACGCTGCATTGCTATTGAGCTCGAGCCGGTTCGCTGGTGCGGGCAAGACGAGCGGCGGTCGCTCGCGCTCTCTCAGCGACGGGAGGCCGTCGGGTGGACAAATCACTTGCGGATGGTTGGAGCTGTCCGGACGTCGCTGGCTGGTCCTGGGGTCACGGAAGTCCATACAGGGACTTATTTTGGCGCCGGGGCCGGCTGGAATGAGAGGAGCGAGTTGACTTAATTACGTGGAGTAGGTAGACAGACAAGGCCGAAGTATGGTATAATAGCAGGTGATCTAGGCGGTCTATGGGGTTTAGGACAAAATTCACAGTAGCAAGCAAGGCTTCCTTCGCTTATGGCATTGCGACCGCGAGATCATGAGACAAGAATCATCGGCCACGGGCCTTGATCAAAGGGGGGATGGATGATGGATGCGTCAGGATGGACCGCAGATCGTGGGTGCTGGTTCTTGGTGGCTGCAGGTCAAAGTGACGTTTTTGGGGCCTTGTTAGGCCCGGGGGCCAGCCAAAATGCAGGCCAAGTCCACCAAGGCGCAGGAGCTGGAGAGCAGGGGGCACAGAGTGCTAGCGGCACACTAACTGGGTACTGAGCAGGTCCAGGCGCACCCACCCCTGTACTACACTACAACTTCTCTTGGAGTCGCCCTGGTGGGTAGTGTACATAGGCTCTACATGGCTTGTTTGAGATGCTGCACTACCGAATCCAAGGCTCTAGTGTACCTGTCCGGTAGGTAGTGCTTTGTGGTACCGTACTAATAGTAGCCTAGGAATTCACCTGACATTGCAACCTCGAGTGCTACTGTAGGTAGGCAGTCTGAAGCTTACTATATTGCCATCACAATTGCTTCTTCTATATGCACAAGAGGTGATGCCGACATGACCTACACCGGGCCAGATAGTGTGACCGTATACTGGGATTCTACTAACTGGGACATACTATTCCACCAACAAAATAATAATAATGCCCAAGGCTATCTCTTCGAGCAGGCCGTCATGTAGGGTGGGCAACCTATCGGCACAGCATACACGACACTACAATAGCTTCCCAGGGGCAAGATTTGCTGGTCCATGATCTTTCAACCCCCCTTTTTGCCTGTTTGGGGTGGCGTGCGGAGAGGGGCGCGGCCAATTCCCTGGAAATTCAGGGACATCTCATGATTCTGTTATGGAGTAGGCGTGAATCGTGGGTAAAGCGAAATATAAATAAATATCCAGATGCAGATGGGGAAAGCCCCTGGCTAAGACGAAGAGAGGTACGTGTACTACTATGTACTGCTAGTGTAGTAGCTGTCCGAGGCGGAAGGTGAGACCATAAGCGGGAACGACGGAGATGACTAGGAGAAAAATAACTAATACCGTGCTAGGCCACTAAATTTATTATTATTGTTTATCCCTCTCTCCTACTTGATAATGGCTTCTTCGCAGGTTCGTGGAACGGTTGCATTGTCTGCTACCGAACTACATGAAAAACAGGCAGAAAGAGACGCCCTGCGCTCTGGTAGAGATTACCAAAATGTTATGCTCAGGCCGCCTTGTGTTCTGTCACCTGGATCTTGGGGATAGATAAGAATGGAAATCAAGCTCTCTATTAAAGACCGCCTAACCCAAGGTAGGCAGTGGGTAGTACCTTACCATGTGTTTGCTGCTTGTCAAGAGGAAGGAGGATATGGCTGAGATAAAAGCTTGAGACGACCAGACCTTGGCTCCCACATCAACCTCGTATCTTAGCTCGTAAACTCGCCCTTAGCGCATTTCCATATACTACTTACTACGTAACTCTGCGCAAAATAGTATGTTGGATCTTGAGCTATTACAGCCAGAGGATAAGAGAGAATAAAATCGGACGCGAAAAAAAAACAGGGACAGCGGAAGTGACATCGGCAAGATTTGACAGGACGGGCGCCTCTGCTGGTACCGGTAGTCCAAGATCGGCGCCGTCAAACATCACACTTACAAAGTCAGTACTCCAGTTCTGCTCGAGTCAATATACTGCAAACCTTGTCCAATCACTTGCTGCCATCCCCCTCTCATCCTTTGACTCGTCGCCTTAGACAATGCCGAGGACTCGAGGCTTCGATCCCTTATCATTTATTATCTTGGCTCTTAGTATATACTGAGTATCCACAGGTTAGGTCGGTAAATACGAATTACTATACTGTAAATCATGGAGGGTTCCCCTGCCAAGCCGGTTTAGCCAACACACATTTCGTTACGACTTCGCCATGACTCGGTGGGCCCGTCCATGTGTGTGTCTGTGTACGCGCATCCGGTTGTCATGGCCGGCGCTTTCTTAAAAAAAATTTTTTTATACTGGTAGAAAGAGAGAAAAAAATATTTCAAGAATTCTAGTTCCTATCATCCCTGCAACATCGAGCCGAAACGCCCGGATCGACACATTACACTAGGACGGGATTCTAGTGTAGCGCAACTTATAGTTTCCTCACTACAAACAATACCGATGATCTAATGTGTAGCCTACCTAGAGTAAGTGCCGTAAAGGACGGGAAGAAAAGTAGGAACAAGGCTTGAATGAGCTAAGCCTACAGTACTGTGCTATAGGTTGCTTGATATATTCCTCTGCGACGCTGCTACTGCAGCCGTCAGGTCCGATGCTACCCCTCCAATACTACCGCCTACTCCCCTCTATCTTGGGGGCTGCTGTCGAAGTGCGGCGGTGAACCTGCAAGGGAAGTTACATGACCGGTTCAACGACAACAACAATAACCACAACAAAGCGCCATCACTATTTACGGTCAGTACTTGCAGTATTCTAGTACACTATACAGTGTAGCATCAGTATCACCCTTGGGATCACGCATAGTCATCCCCGTCAGAAGCCTGTTATTCTGCAGCATGCTCAGTATAGCCTCTACCTTACGTGATACTATATGACTTCCTAACCATGGGGAATTCACGAGGCAGCCAGGTATACCTATCTGTAAAAGTGAGGACTACTGTAGGTAGTCTGCAATGTAGATAGATATATCCTGAGTTGTCATTTCTTTTCGGCCTGTAATGCGACCAAGATTTGGCGCCTGTCACATTTTGCACGTACATATTGGTTTGTCGTGTGTGAACTGAGGTAAGTAAGCATATAGTGGTGATGCTCACGACTATTACAACATAGTGATTACACCAGGCTGTTAAAAAGAAAACAAAATAAACGGAATTGCATGATCCATTGCCGAATCGACAGCGATAACTCCGAGACAAGGCCCACCCAATTACCAAATACCAACAATCCAGCCCTCTTGTCTCATCTACCACCCATGCTGTTGGTAATTCGAGGACAGCTTCTCGGATTGTCCATGATTTCTTTTTGTCTTCTCTTCTTCTATAAGGTGATACGCTTGCCTCGACTAGTGATCCCGACCTAAGCGGCTATATAATGAGTTATCATAAGCAGGCTGAGGTATGCATTGTGTGAGAGGGTACTCATTACTGCCTCTCGTTCACGAAAATACTACCCCAGATTAACCAAACAATATGACATTTCACCTGTTACTGTCCTACGTAAACTTTGTTATCGAGAGGAGATCAGAGCTTCCCTAGTGCAACAATTGCGACATACCTACAGTATTACCTGACCGCCGTCCGACGGTTGGCAGGTAGGTGTATATCATGCGGGAGCAGACGCCTCACCGACTTTATTAGCATTTTCATTGTTGTCATTCTTATTGTTGTTCTTGTTGCCGTTAAAAAACATCAATGTTCGCAGCAAAGCCACTGCAACAAAAAAAAGACCCATTTCACATCTCTATACCATATATACTACTGTGTCAAACCGCAATCATTCAGCAATAAAATAAGATGATCAAATGAATTAAATCACTTGAGTATTTAAAGGCTCTAGATTTCTTAATCCAATCTTATTTGGTTGTTTAATCGATGTTTGAAGTGGTAGAGTTTAGTCGGTATTTGCGGGCTTATGGCACATGGGTCGTTTCTTGTTGCAGTGACTCTGTTCGCAGATAGTGTAGTAATTAGGATCTCTTATTGGACGCCGTGCGTCCACGGATGACACGCCCAGAAAAATCCCTTTTCGTACGACGGGGGATATTTTCTATAGTGCTGGTAGATCGTCTCCTCCATCCAAATGCACATAACATACCTACAGTACCAGCTTGGGATAACGTTGTCTTGTCTCACCCCGTTTCGGGCAGCCGGACGCCCGGTCTCCTTTTGGCCAAAGAGATCTTGCCCGGTGGTCACTGCTGCACAAATGTAGTGTATGGGTGCATCCCGTGTATGCACGGTTACGGTAGATATACTGAGTATGTAATAGGTAATGTGCGCATAGCAGGCACGTAGTGACCGTCATGTCATATAACATAAGCGGAATATTGTCTTTTGTTGTAGCAGACAACTTCTCGTCAGCAGGTTTGGATTGAATTGACTAGATTATGCAGATGTAGTAGGTATCAGTTCTAAAACCTCAGCCTGAGATTGCGGTGGATCAACCGCTTCACATCCCTCTACGACTACGCCCTATGGGGGTCCCTGCCACCATAGCACTGAACCGGCACGGTCTAGGAGCTGAGCTCTACGATGTCGTCGTCGCTTGGATATCCTCGCTCAGATAATCAAGCCTTCATGGGACCTAGTTAGAGCGTGTTAAAAAAGAAAAAAAAATAATCATAATAACTCTAGTTATAAGATAAAAAAAAAAAACAGAACGACAACGGCAGGATTTGAACCTACGACCCCGAAGGGATATGATCGAACTAGCTGGTCTCTGATTCTAGTCATACGCTTTAACCACTCAGCCACGTTGCCTTGGATGAAGTCTGTATCGTGAATAATGCACTATGTCCGCGGAACGAAGGGGGTTCTCGAGGGGCTTTGTAATACCTTAAGTTATTGTGTTTTTCCTTTCTTTTTCTTCATACCAAACAAGTCATCCACTACATACAACAGTAGCAAAGGCACTGGAAAAAGCTGCAGGCAGGCACTCTTAGTCCCCCCTGGCCTATGTGTATATACTGAGTAAGGTAAGTAAGCAATCATTCGATCTGGGACGATGGGCCAGGATACCAATAAGACCAGGACACATGCGCGCCGTAGATAAAAATGCTGTGCTGTGTGTGCCGTGCCGTGCTGGTATATACTGTAATATACTTAATAATGCATAGCACTTCCTAGGGTATTAGGGGTTGTTTCGAACCTATCGGATCGCCTGGCATTTGATGATGCCGGGTTCCGGGGACGGGGGGGTTCGGGGGTTTACCCAGGAAGCCAACGCTGCACGCAGTTCTACACTACAGTCATCATCATCATCATCATCATCACATTTTTCAGTTTTTTGATTTTATCCCATTTGGTGAACAATCCTAGGGTAGCAGTGTAATGTGTAGCATTGCGCGTTCGACATCCCGAGTAATCGACGGCGGGGCTTGAGAAGCTGACTAGAAGATCTTACACTGGAGTTCGACTCGAGAATTTCGTCGGCGACTCCGTAGAGCCTCATCTTTCTTCTATCACTGTCTAAGCTTATCTCACTACCAGTAGCTGACGGCAATTGAAAATATTGGATCTAGGTAGGGGATCAGGGGAGCTTTGTTCCGGAAGCAAGGGGAAAATCGTGAATTGAAATCGCAGTAGTAAAAAATTAGCGGTCTGATGACAACTACAACTATGGTGAAAACTGAATGCGATGGCTTGAATTTACAGTGTTCAATTTCACGAAGTTTCTCCTCTCGTCAACCCGTCGAAGTAAAGAAAGAGAACATGCTCAATTTGTGGTGTCCTTGCGGGTCCGTTATTCCGTTTATTCATCAATCATACTCGTATAATGTGTTCATATGATCCTTCAAGAAATATGCTAGAACATAACAAATAAGAAAAAAAAAAAACCGCAAACTCTTTCGTCTTTCCTCCCTGAGGAGCCAAATGGACATTCTGGCAAAACTATAATTCACCTTGCGAACGCCGTATTACCCAATACTGTTGTCAATCCCTGAGGACTTTCTGCAAAGCTGTCTATAAGGAGTCGGGTAGTCGTAAATCATTGGAAAACATTTGCCTCCGTTACGTCCCGCGTGGAGACAAGGCTCGTTTCGTGGTCAAACAAATTGCTAACATGTTGCGTTCTTCCCCCAAAAGAATAAAGAGATAAAGCAAAGAGCACCATCAAACGCCGGCCATCTAGCCGCTGGATGACCTATGATGCAGAGTTCTCGTGGCATGGAAAAGTCGAAAAGTCAAGAACAAGTATGGCTGGTTGGCCGCGCTGATAAACGAATACGTGTTTAACCCAAATTGTACCAATCAAGTGCTCAGCGTCCAGGAAGTGCTACGTGGTAGTTGGAGATGTACGGAACTGGTCGGTCGATGGAATAATTAATCATCTTGTTGCGCCAAAGCATTCTTGCCTGGATAAACGCCACCGTGGAGAACATAGTCCTCAAACGGCAGACAGCTGATGGTGTTGCGTGATGACCGAACCCATCCAGGCTTCGGGACCACTTCCCAATTCTCATCGTTGAGTGGATAGAAGTTGTAGGTCTCGTGCGAGGGGAGGTCTTGATGCTCGCAATCGAATATGCCCTCGAGGTGCATGCGTTCGAGCTTCGGTAGCTTTCTGCGAAGGCCGGTGAACAGGGATCGGAACGTTCCTTCGTACAGATGGATACCTCCATGCGATGCCTCGAACGGTTTGGCTAGCCCGCGGCCACCCAGTCGCAATCGCACCAAGGTGGCACCGTGTCGACCCAGGAACTCCTTGAGATCCTCTTCATCACAAGAGATACCTTCTAGCATCAGGTCTGTGAGCCGCGTGTAGGTAAACCCGAAGAACAGCTCCCTAAAGGAGAGTACAAATTTCGAATGTTCGCTCGAATAGGGGTGAAATGCGAGCTTGAGGTGTGTGACGTTTTTAGCCAGCTGAAGGATGCGGCCCAGTCCATTTACAGCCCGAAATGCAGACGTGGGGCCTTGAAGGCCAGAGGGGTCGAGAGTCAAGTTGAGGCTGGATAGAGTATGGAAAGATTGGGCGTGCGTAAACCAATGTGAACGATGGTTAGCCAGCCGAAAAACCTCGAGCGGAAGTCGGTCCACTTTGAACGAAGAGAGCTTGACCCCGTGCAGGGCAAACATAATCGCATCCAGGTTCTGATAGGTTTCCTGTCGGTCCAGCTTCCTGCAGTTAGGGTAGAAGAAGGCCTCTTGAATGCACCTGTTGTTCAGCGTGGATGGGCATCGCGCAAAGGAAACCTCGAGATCCTCCAGATTTGGCAAAGCTGAGCAGGCCTCCCGGAGATCGTCAGCCCTCAGATGGAGGGGTCCGACCTGCTTACGCCCGGCTGCAATCTTCTCAAACTCCACTCGAGCCTGTGCCATCAGCTCAGCCCGTTCTATCGGGGGTGCCACGAAGTGCTGAGCCCTGCTTAGAATTATATTAGCTAGGCCTTTGTGAAAAGATAAGAGTTGTTGATAGATCCTAGTCCTCATCTTTCGAGGTCGATCCCTAAAAGTCACAGCGGAGATGCCGTATGTAGCACGAGAGCTGTACGACAATTGGGAGAGGAGATCTGGGTCATCTTACCATGATGTGGTCCATGCATCTCCGTGGGACAGTTCCCCGAGAAAAATGTTGATCGACTTGATGCTTCCCCTCAAGCGTTCGTGGAGTGCGATGCAGTGCAGCCGATCAATATCATTACGCCAATTCAGCGAGGTGAAGTGTGGCGATAACAAGTATTCATAGCCAACCTCTGCAAGAACTCGACTCGCGGCTCGTAAATTGGGAACTGATTCGTGATCACAGTAGGAGTAGATGAGCCTGAGAAGCTCGACGGGTAGAGCATCCATGAGGAAGCGAAAGGTGAGAGGATGCTCTGCTGACTTGCAAGCTGTGTACGGCACGAAAAGGCGGGATGGGGCAAGTATTATTATAAGTTGGGTGATTAGGGAAACCGGTAAACTCCGCCAGATGATGGGTTTGGAGGAAGACGGAAACGAGAAAAGCTTTAGAATTTATCTTCCCCCCGGAGCAGACAGACCGGTATATTGAAGAGAGAGAAAAATTGAAAAATGCAAATATATAAATATATATATGCACCAGGGACCTGAGAAAAAAGGCACAAGCGGTCGAGCAGCGTGTTGTTAACGAATAGGCGGAGAGAGGTTCAAATGTGCATTTCTGCAGCAAGCCTCTCCGATTTAGGACAAATGAGAAAAACGACTAAAAGTATCGGTGAGAGTGAGACACACGTAGGCACAGACTGCTATCTTACGGGCAGCGGCAAGCATCCAAGCTTTCTCGTGGAACGACTGGCGGGCAAGCCTGGCGAGACTGGCCTGACTGGCCGGACGGGGGCCCTGTCGGATGGATCTGACTACTCAGTATCTAGTGTCCAGCATCCAGCCTGAGCCTGACAGCAGACGACCATGAAGGTGCACAGCGAAAAAAACACCATGCGAAATGAAATCGCCAAAGTAGCGGTATAGTAGCGGTAAGGCGGGAGTGCGCGTGGTGTCACACCTGCAGAAATCCCATGCCTCTGCCTAACCCGAACGGGACGTTACGGTGAAGGGAGTCAGCGAAAACCCTGCACAGTGCCATCATGCCCGGCCTGGCACTGTGGCCTGCCCACTACCTGTCACGCTGGGGCGCCTCTGCAGTACCTGCAGTACCTGCATTAGATCCCACGAGGCGGCTTGACACTGTGATTTCTCGGTGAGCTGGGACCGGTGCTGGGACTCTGACTCTGCTAAGGTTAGGACATCCTGCCAGCAGATCGCCGTGATTCGCCTGCGTCATGCTGGGTCGCTAAAGGGGGCCCCTGGCCGCACGCCAGCTCGCCAACATATATAATACTATATACACTAGCTTTGCTAGGTAGCTCGGACGACACCCCCGAATCACTGGATCGCTACCCGACCGGGAGGGTGATGAACGTAACGAGAACTAAAGCACACTAGGGTACGGTACCTACGCTAGAAGGTGAGACGGACGACAACTTCACTCAGTCACATGTCCCAGGTATGTGTCTTTGTGAAGAACAATTGTGACAGGTATCATGTTATACGACCGACTACCATCGATACTATCGACTCATCACCCATCCATCATGAATAAGGTACATACCTACCCACTTCGTCGCTCGTCGAAGAATACTATAGGTATCTTATCCATCATTTAGTACCATCACAGATCATTCGCCGAGGGCGCCTAAAAAAGAGCTATGCGTATGCACCTTATCCACCGCATAACTCGTCCCGGTAACTGGGTACCGTGCCTGGTCCCAACCCAAGCTGCCGGCTAGCAAGGATAGCCCGAATGGTTTGAGGCCACGCCGCCAAGAGGATCACTCAACACGTCAGTGCTCTAGCGCGGCATGTCTTCTAGACCGCAAGATCCCGACTGCCTATAACTTCCCGTGCCGTGCCCGGAAGAGTTCCACCTTGTCGTCGTAGTAAAGGATTTCACGTAGACGCAGCCGTGGTGGTGGCTTATTCGTTGCCGCTTCCGCAAACGAATCTGCCTCCGATTCACCATCATCAGACGTCTCTATGAAATCGTCATCGGCGTCTGAGAAGGAGTCATTGTCAATCTCATTTTCGTCCTCGGTGTCGTCATCGCCGTCGCTATTGCCGTCGATGTGATTTGCATCGCCTACAGATATGGCGTGGTCACCATCTTGGAAGCGACTATTGACACTATCGCTCTGTTCTGTGATTTCGAAGCAACTCCCCCATAGTCCCACATAGGCGAGGCGTATCTCTCTTCTCAAGCTAATGATATCTACGATCTGGAGGGCCAGCTCTTTCGGTAC